AAATAACAATAAATATACTGACAGATGTAACAATAGATGTAATGACAGACAGACAGACGTTACAACAGATACAATGATAGATAGATATAACGATATGATACAATACGATACGATATGACAGATAAATATAACAAATATAATGACAGATGTAACAATATATGTAATGACAGACAGACAGACAGACAGAGACAGATAGATAGATAGATAGATAGATAGATAGATAGATAGATAGATAGATAGATAGATAGATAGACAGACAGATAGAACAATTGCTATAGCTAGATAGATATAATGATAGATAGATATAACGATACATAGATGCGTTTTAATGTTTCTTTTGTTTCTAATTTGTTGTGGCCTTTGTGAAGAGATTTTTGGCCGCATCCAGACTATTCACATTAGTTGAGTCCTCTGACACCCGCTGATTCTGGAATACAGACAGGTATTTGCATCGCAGAGGGGGCGAGATCGGGACAATGCTCAAATATCCGCACGTGGGCAAAACCTTCCAAACAAAGCAGCTATTCGGCACCTCGTGAAGCCTGTTTGTGCCACAAAATAACAGCTTTAAATGAGCAGAGGATATCCTTTGAAAATTAAACACCGGCAATTTTATTTCTTTTGTATTCGTGCCGTTGTACTTGATGATTATTTCATGAAACGCCTCCCGCTGAGGCCTTTTATTCTCCGGAGCTGCTTTGGTATCAGGGAGGTCAAATACTATGTGAGTAGCCATTACATTTTAAGGTTAAAAAACATGCTGTTCATTTCACAGACAGGTTGAAAGGGAATTAACGAAGGCAATATAACCATAACCTTTACTCTCCTGAATGCCACCACTAAAAGACGGCACGAGGATCTATGAATGCCAAACATCTTATTAAAGCCCGTAGACAAAAGAAAGCACGCAGACACAGGTCACAGCTCTTTCACGGACTGTGTGAGAGAATGAAATACTGGAATACAGACACAGAGCTGCTTAAGTTATACAATCTGACCTTGATTATGTCACAGTCACATGACTGATGGGCTTCATTTCAGACAAACTCCTGAAAAACAGCACTGCAATTCCCAAGCAACTTACAAATCTGCCATATGGAAATAAAAGTCAAAACCTGAAGAGTTTTTCATGTTTGATTCATGTTTTATTTCTTCAAGGAGCGTGCTAATGGTCTAATTTATAGCAATTCAATCAGGCTTTGAAATAGATGATAACTTAGAAATTACTGTACTTACACAATCTACTAAAAAGTTTGCTAAACATCAGTTCCTGTTTTGCAAATGTTTACAAAGAGAAGCGTGTAAAACACAGTCATTTGTGATTTAATATAAACACACTGGAAATTTGACAATGTATATACATTATTTATTTTTTTTTACAGATTTTGCTTAATTGCAGCTTGATTGTGAAAACGAGGCATAAAAAACTTGTTCTCATAATCACACTGATGAGCTCAATAAGTGGAAAAGTTCAATATAAATTATGTCAGACTTACAATACAAAAATACAAAATACAAAAATCCATAATAAAATTCATATATCCATAAAAATAACAATAATTACATTCATAAACTATAGTAATCTAAACAAAGAATAGATCAACTTAAACCATTTAACTATTTGTTGTGTGAAACAAAAATTATAAAATTATGTATTTATTAAGTATAAAAAAAACTGTATTACTTGCAAAAACATGAACAATTAAAGTTTTTGGAAAATTAGATATTTATGTTAACATTTTTCATTTTTGCCAGTAATAAAGTGATGGAAATGCTACAACAATATATATATATACATATATATATATATATATATATTTTTTTTTTTTAACAAGAAATACTTACATGGTAAAGATTTATTTATATATATTTAGATTTAGTGCTGTCAAATTGATTAATCACATCCAAAATAAAAGTTTGTGTTTACATAATATATGTGTAACGTGCATAATATATATATATATATATATATATATATATATATATATATATATATATATATATATATATATATATATACACACACACACACACATACATGATTTACACTATATATACATATATATTACATATATTTCTTAATATATATATGTATGTGTGTATATAAATATGCACAGTACACATATATTATGTAAACACAAACTTTGATTTTGGATGCAATTAATCGATTTGACAGTACTACTTAGTACGATTATTATAATAAAAATATAGTATAATAATTCAATTTTTTAACAATTCAATAATAAACCTTTTTTTCTGTATTTACATGTTTTAAGACTGAAAATGTGGATTTTCCAAGCTGAAAGTCTGACATAATTTTTACTGCACACATTAAAGCTCATCAGGAGCAGGTGTAATTATGGTTTATTGTGAGCTGATGAACTTTGCCATTCATTGAGCTTCTCTGTTTGCACCTGCTACAATATGAAATCTGCTAATGTGATGTTATGCTGGCGGAAATGATTTATGGAGTCACTGTTGACAGGGTCCGCCGGCAGACCACGTTAATACCATCAATCTATCTTAGGTGCTGTTTGGACCTCACTTAATGTTTAAGAAACTTTAACTCTCTTTCAAAGACCTTTTGCTCTATTCTTCATTTTTTCTCCACACAGAGATTTATAAGCGTCTCTGGTTAATGAGTCAAATCAGGACATAAATCAATCAATATGCCACTAATGAAAGCAAATGGAAGGCACCGAGGCAGAATCCCACGGAGGAAATGCAGTCAGCCGTAACGCGGCGTCAAGAAAGCGGCGGTTAATGACCACGACGGGGAACACGCTAATGACCTGCTAGCTGCTAGCTTGTGTTGATCAGACTCATGTAGTGAATGATGTTAGCACACCTGCAACCAGTAGCCAATGGTGGGAATCAACTCCAGCTTTGTTAGGCAACTGAACGCCTGCCTGGTTACATTTACATTAATATTCTTAGCAGGCCATTTATGAAAGTGCTAAAGTAGTTCAGTTCATGTAACTTTGACAAATAATTTTTGCCAAATGACATCCAACAGCATTTTGGCATGTGAATCGTAGTAATATAAATAAAACAAAGCATGCTTTTGCATGTCGAATAACAGATGTGGAACCACTAACAAACATGTTAATCAAGAAAAAATTTGTCAAGGTAATAATAAAAAAAAAAAAATCTATACATAATTTTTTACACAACAAATAATTGAATGGTTTAAGTTTATTAACTTTTCATTCAGATTATTTGATTGATTGCATTTTTATATATATTTTCATAAGATTGCAAGTCTAGATTTTCCAAATTGAAAATCTGACATAATATATATTCAACTTTTCCAAGTCTTAAAGAGATTGTTTACCCAAAAATGAAAATTCTGTTGGTGACCAAAAAGTTGACGGTAGCCATTGACTTTCATAGTATAGAAAAAAAAAAAAATACTATGGAAGTCAATGGCTACCATCAATTCTTTGGTTACCAACATTCTTCAAAATATCTTCTTTTGTGTTCAGCAGAAGAAAGAAACTCATACAGGTTTGGAACAACTTGAGGGCGAGTAAATAATGACAGAATTATAATTTTTGGGTGAACTGCCTTTTTAAGCTCATTAGAAGCATTTTATGTACTCTAAATGAAATGATCGTTTTACATGTTCTGCTTAATTTTACACAATTACCGCTTGATTGGAAATGATATATAATAAAAATATTCTGTATTCAAGTGATATTTATGTTTTTGACATTAATATAGATTTTTTTTTAGAAAACTTTATTAGAGGTAAAATTGTTTGACTGTAATCAAAATGTTACAAAAATAGATACAAATAATGTTTCACACAACACATTCAAATGGTTTAAGTTTATTTACTTTTTGATTAGATTTGTATAGTTTAGATAAGAAATGTGATCATTAATTTTTCCATTTTCTATGGACTTTTTTTATTTTAAATTTGCCAGTCATATCTGCATATCAATATGCTGCATGTACGTAGAGAAACTAAATAATACAGCATAGCCATTATTTAATCCAATATTTAATCCTATCAAATCTGATTTTTGGAAATTGTTTCTTTCCATCTGGTCAGATTCCAGGTACTTTTTTCCATCCCTTGTTACTCTAAAGCACACTGTAAAGAATTGCTGTAATTTTTACAGTAAATATTTACAATAGACCACTGTATTTTGAAATTTACAGCATTACTGTATTTTGCTATGAATTGTGGGAACATGCTAAATAATTGCTGTAAATTTTACAGTAGTATCTAAGAATGTTTTTGCATTTTCCTATATATTCTAGGAACATGATTATGCAGTAAATTTTACAGGAGATCATGTATACATATATTCTTTTTTTTTATAGAAGAAAACTGTTGCACAAGTTTTGAAATCCAGTTTTGGTACTCAGTCAACTGTAATAAATACAGCCTTTTTAACGAGTTATTTACACCATGTTGACTCTGACATATGATTATATAATGTACGCATCTATTAGTTTAAAACTGTTTGCTTTAAGAACACACATGATTAGGCGACTACATCGGCGTAGCGCGTGCGTGTGTATTTACTAATTCATGCCTCAGTTAAAACGTGAAATCCTGGTGCTTCCAGTAATTATTTTACCAGTCATTAAGATCTTTCATTGTGTAACTGTTATTTTTATTTTGTGACGTTTCAAAAGGGATAAATATCTGTTCGATTCTATGCTACGTAATTTGCTTTTTGAGTCCAAAGTTACGATTAACTTTAACGTTAGCTGGGTAACTAACTTTTTTTTTTTCCATCTTGAAAGTGTGACCTGTCTGCCATATTACGTTACTATTACATTTCGAAAGCTGTTCAGTATAAAATAAGTTTGAATTGTTGGTAGTAGTCACGTAAACTTTAAAACATTGCATTGTATACATCAATTTAAATTGTGTAGGTTTTATGTAACTCAGTAACGTTAGTGGTTCACTCCACTGCCAAGCCATTAACTAATTAGCACGTGTTTGTTCGATGGTGTTGCTGTAAGGATTTGTTTTTTAAGTTTTATCTTTGTTAATATCACTTATAAGGGTGCATGTAGTCATATTAGTACTTTAGTTGTTCATTAGAAAGTACATTGGAAATTGCTGTGCACATGCTTTACTGCTACTTTGTTACTGAACATGTGGCTTGTCTGTGATTGTGTTACACCACTGTTTTCCATCTTTTTAAGGTATGTCCAAACAGTGAGGTGCATGCTGTTCTGTCAAAGTATCAAGAGGGAAAGTCTCTGGTCCTGTGCATCCTGCAACTCTTAATGGCCCTTTTTAAAGAGAACAGAATCCCTTCTAATTGAAGCTGATGTAAGTAATATCATTTTGATTTTTAATGTCTTAAGTTTAACTGGTAATGCAAAATAGTTGTATCTATTTTTTTTAGGTAGCAGCGACTGCAACCGACATGGAAAGAAATGGATTACCGGATTCACCCGCACTGATCTTTCAAGGTAATGTGTCTTACTTTCTGTCTCTATTATACACACTGTTCTTTGCTTTCTATTTCTATCATATTTATATTTTTGCCACCTCTGTTCATGTATTCTACTTCACAGTTCTATTCTCACTCCTATATTCCTTCCATTTGTTATTGTCTCTGAACCACTCTCTCTCATTAGTAACCATGGTCTTCATTATCTTTTAGGTTATCAGTGTCTTTATTAGTTAACATGAACTACCCATACAACACTTATTAATCTATGTCTTTCTGTATTTCTTTTACAGGTGAATCCATGACCCCAAGCAAATGGATGTTATCAGTCGTAAGGGAAGTTGTCTTTGGCCCATGTTCAGAGGCATTTGTTGAGGGCCTGGCAGCATTGTTTGCGACCTATTACAACTTAAACCTTGCTTATCAGGATGAAGCTGCATGCACCCTCGAATTTATTCAGAGGTATGTCAGAAACTCTTACTGAATATTTATTGTAGACATCCAAATTTCAATTACTTTTTTTAGGTTTACAGGTTTGGATGGCTTATCAGGATTAGATTTTTTTGGAAAAGTTTTCAAACTGCAAAAAAAAATGCTGACTCCACACTGAATTGAGTACATGCAACCAAAGTCCAGCAAAAATATTTTATAAAAAAATCTAGTACAAAATATGCAAACAAATATAAAACTATACAAACAAAAATACAATTATTAGAAAAAATAATAACGAAAATAACAGGAAAAACGGGCATATAAATAACAAATAAAAAGTCAATATAATAAGATAAATAAAATAAATGATAATTATATAATTTAATAAAACAAATTATTTGTCTCACCTTTTTGCAGCATGTCGCAGCCATCAAAATCTATTTGTTTTCAATAAATACAATTAATTTGGTCAGTGTTTTATTTTGCCCTAACTCTTCAATAAATGAAATAATAAGGAAAATGTGATTTTAAAATGACACTTAAATTATATTCTTTGAGTATATGCAGTTTTGTTTTTTTGTTTTTTAATCTGATGTTGTGTTTTTTTTCACAGAGGAATTGTGGGCATTAACCTGGAAACTGGATCAAAAGTTGCTGGAAAGAGAGACAAGAAAATGAAAGTAATGAACCCACATGTATGCACACTGCTGCGAAAGCTAATGGACTTTGAATGGCTTGCCATTTTATTTTTTATTTTTTATATATAAGTGTTCCAATGGAATAGTTACTGTACATGCAATGTCTTGCCCCTTCATGGATTTGGCAATTTAAAGGTAGGCACAGTTCAGACCCTTTCTTTTGTGTTTATTTAAACTAAGTTTATGAATGAAGTTCAGTCCCACTGTAGGGATGTTTTTTTTTTCTTTTTCCCCCAAGGCTAAAGCCTTTGGTTCAATGTGCAATCTCCATTTTTGTGTCTCCAAATATGTTTTGGAAAATGGTGTACATGTTAAATGAACATTATTGTCCAATAAATTGTTAAATTTATGAAAACCTGTCATTTTGAAAGTTTTATTGTTCACATTACACATTCAACTCACAAAAAACACTACTGAAAATTACAGGAAAAAGTAGGTTTACACACTATCACCGCAGTGAAAAATCTCAACTAGTTAATTTAGTGAACTGAATTTCACAACAAATGCCCTAATTCAATGTAAAATGTATGTAGAGCAGTGCAAGTTCACAGTTGCTCTTGTAATTTCACTCACATTTGTAAACATTGCTACTGTAATCTTACAGGAATAGCTGTAAAAAAAAACTATTTTACAGCATATTTATACAGCGGTATGCTGTATTTTTACAGTACAATTGTAATTGATTTACAGTACTATTGTAAATTTACAGTCTTACTGGCAACCAAAATTGCCAGTAAGTTACTGTAAATTTTATTGTAAATTTTTTTTAGTGCAGGGGTGCCCAAGCTCGGTCCTGGAGGGCCGGTGTCCTGCAGAGTTTAGCTCCAACCCCAATTAAACACACCTGAAGCAGCTAATCAAGCTCTTACTAGGCATACTAGAAACTTTGTAGCAGGTGTGTTGAGGCAAGTTGGAGCTAAACTCTGCAGGACACCGGCCCTCCAGGACCGAGTTTGGGCACCCCTGTTCTAAAGTCAAGCAAAAATGCAGTGTAATAATCTTTAAGTTGGGCACACAAATAGGTGTTTATACTTCAAAACTAGCACATGACAGAAATGGGTAATAATCAAACTCATCATAACCTTATATACAGTAAAATTACTAAATAAAAAAAAAACAGCAACAAGTAAATAAAATGCAGATGGTCAAGCAGTGCAACCATATTAATTATTCATCCTCCAGTGCATGCTGGTAAGAAGGTGAATGGGACTAAGCATCAAAATACTATGATATATATATATTTTATTATCAAGCATTATTTACTTGATCTAGGGTTTGATTTTTATAGTATACCTACCAAATGCAGAACATCAGTCCTAAATGTTGGATTTGACAAGCAAATCTGAATTGTGTGGTGTTTGAACAAAACTCCCAAGCACAGGCTGACCCACTGGACTTTGGTAATGGAGGTGCAGCAGTTTTTATTAAAAAATCAGAAACACGTGACGCATGTGCGGCCACATGTGCAGAGCCATCACAAAGGTTAACGATAAACAACTAAACAAACAAACCAATACATATTGATTAGCTCACTCACATCCTGCTCCTCAGTTCATTAGTCACCTGAAAGGTCGCGTCCAGCAGCAAGGGATTGTGGGAATTTTGAGAACCCCACTGGCAAAGTGTCTTAGGGGAAACTCACTTCTGGGCCAACAATAAGTAATTAGCAGCAATTAGCGCCTGTGATTAACTGCCTCAGGTGAGGGAGAAAAAGGAAAGGGGAGGAGAGGTAAAAGAACAAGGGTGGAAGAGAAAGAAAGAGAGAGAGAGAGAGAGAGCTGTAGGTGTTAAACCTCAGAGAGAGTGTGCTGCATATTAAACAGATAGATAGATAGATAGATAGATAGATAGATAGTGCTGCATATTAAACAGATAGATAGATAGATAGATAGATAGATAGATAGATAGATAGATAGATAGATAGATAGATAGATAGATAGATAGATAGATAGATGGATGTAATGGTAGATAGATAGATAGATAGATAGATAGATAGATAGATAGATAGATAGATAGATAGATAGATAGATAGATAGATAGATAGATAGATAGATAGATGGATGTAATGGTAGATAGATAGATAGATAGATAGATAGATAGATAGATAGATAGATAGATAGATAGATAGATAGATAGATAGATGTAATGATGGATGTAACAACAGACAGACAGATAGATAGATATAGATAAAGTGATATAATAAAGTGACTTGACATGTGGCCAAGTATGGTGACCCATACTCAGAATTAGTGCTCTGCATTTACCCATCCAAAGTGCACACACACAGCAGTGAACACACACACTGTGAACACACACCCGGAACAGTGGGCAGCCATTTATGCTGTGGCGCCCGGGGAGCAGTTGGGGGTTCGGTGCCTTGCTCAAGGGCACCTCAGTCGTGGTATTGAAGGTGGGAGAGAGCGCGCTGTACATTCACTCCCCCCACCTACAATTCCTGCCGGTACAAGACTCGAACCCACAACCTTTGGGTTATGAGTCCGACTCTCTAACCATTAGGCCACGACTTCCCCCCACGATGGATGTAACAGACAGACAGACAGACAGACAGACAGACAGACAGACAGACAGACAGACAGACAGACAGACAGATAGATAGATAGATAGATAGATAGATAGATAGATAGATAGATAGATAGATAGATAGATAGATAGATAGATAGATAGATAGATAGATA